CCTCCCTCTCCCCCTCCCTCTGCACTCTTTCTCTCTCTGCCAAGTATTTATGTGTTGATTTAGTCATGCCACACTTTAGCCAATTTGAGAAACAGGCCGTTTGCAGTCGCTTGATTTTCTCCGTTCGGCTGTGCGGTTTTAACCAGCGGTGGCTGTCTGGAGGGAGCCTCTCTAAATGAAGTTCTCTCTCACTCTCTCTCTGTTTCTATCCCTCTCTCTCTCTCTCACTCTGGCTCTCTCTCTCATGCTCTCTCTCTCTTTCTGTCTCTATCTCTCTCTCTCAATGTCTGTCTGTCTCTATCTCTCTCTTTCACTCTGTCTGCCTCTCTCTCACTCCGTCTGTCTCTCTCTATCTCTCACTCTATCTCTGTCTGTCTTTCTCTCAGTCTCTTTCTTTCAGTCTCTCTCGCTCAATCTCTCACTTACTATCTCTCTCTTTCAGCCCTCTCTCTCTCTCTCTCTCTCTCTCTCTCTCTCTCTCTCTCTCTCTCTCTGTTCCCTCAGGGCTGATGGCACACTCGTAATTTCTCTCCGTTGGGACTTTGACTGCGAGATGGATTATTTCCGCTTGAACTCAGACGCGGAGTTGGATCAGGCCACTAGTCCATTCAGTGTCAATATTAAAATGATAAGTTGACGCAGCAAAGCAGCTCGAAACAGCACAAGTTGTTTGTGTGATCGAGCAGTTTTAGGCCAGAGTCCTGCTTTCCTCTCAAACAGTTACTCAGACTGTGCTACACTTTGACTGCAGTGTGTTTGTAGTATTGCAGGAAAACGGCAGTGCGTATTTAACTGAACAGCAGGCTGCCTTTCTCCCTGCACAGATTCCTGAACATTTTTTAAATTACTGACAGGAGAGCACGACCGATGTGAAAAATTTCTCACCAATACTGATCCTAATTTTAAGGAGTTAAAATTTCAGATAACCAATAATCTCAGCTATAACTGTATATAGTCACAAATCAATCTGACTGCAACTGCTCACCCAGTGCTTTACTGACTGATATCACTGTTAGTTGGCAAACACTGCATAATATATATATATATATATATAGCACCATAATTCTCGCACAGGTCGCATTTTGCAGAGGCTGCATTTTATGTGTTTTATTCTCAATATGTTAAATTAAATCCATATATATATATATACTCACAAAGTTCAATGATTTTTTTATCTTTGATTGTTGTTCAAAATAGCAGCACATTCCTGAATGTAGCTTTCTTATGTAACTACAGGTGGCACTTCATCTCTTCTGATACCAGTACAGATATTGCAACATTAAATAGCGTCTGATATCAATCTGCTGTCATTTTTAAATCTACTAAGCCTAAATTAAGCATTTCACCTAAGAAGAGCACCTAAAAGTAGGCTCATCATGCTCAAACTACTCAAACATCACATCACTCAGTGTGAGTGTGTGCAGTTTCAGGACAGATTTCGTTACAGGACTGGATCAGATTCATTTTTTCCCTCCAATATCCAATCCTGCATTTTCTGCTGATATTGGCCCAATAGTGACACCTGGCATTAGATACACGTACTGCCACACTAAATTCATTAGTATAGTGATTTAGTGGCTGCGTTTGTCTTGACAAAGTTTCCCCAAAAGGCATCTGGCTCTAGTATAAGTTCACTAAACACATAACTAGAGCTTATGAATCCTGCCTCAGCATGAAGCAATATTTGTTCTGGTTGGCTAGATTGGGATTTGAAAGTTTTCTCTAAACTCCATGTGATGCTACAAAGCTCGACAATACAACTGCCTGAAAATCTAAGCTAATGCTTTTGAGATGCAGTACAAATATTTTGAATATTTTTGGAAATTTGGAAGTAATACTATAACTGTAGGTGCATAGGGTTCTTCTCAAAGATGGAGTATCTGGAACATTTGTCTGTTTAGGTTTCACCAAACATGATTCTGACAGCTGGGTGCTCAGCTGAAGTCTTTTCGTGCACGTCTTCAGGCATGAGTCATCGATTAGGATTGTCTCAGAAATATCTATAAATAACTGAAACAGGGCAAAATCAAGTGCACATAAGCCTTATTATTCATCCTCGTCATGTGAGCAAAGAGCTTTTTCATCATGAGTGTGTACTGTCTTTAATAGCTTATAGACCTTTGGATATTTGTAGTGGTCTGTGGTCAAATGAGTATTTGCTAGTGGTCACAAATGACATGTTTTGTTGAAGTCCTCTACAGAGAACACACTTAAATAAGACATTTTTCTGAAAATTTATTGCACAGTTTCCATTTATTTGCTTGTTATTTAGTTGAACATGTTGAAAAAAAAAACATGAAATATAAAACGTGCCATAATTTTTTGCACACTTTATATTTTATGTTATTTTTTTACCCAATATGTTAACTTTTGCAAACAAACAGCATTGAAATGTGCTCTTTGTAGAGGATGTGGTAACTTATTTTTTCACAAAATTTTAGTGTGTGAGGGGAGAAATGTGTCCAAAATTATGGCCACTTGTTTCAAAAAAGAAAACACTGCCCCAGGAGGAGGAACAGTGAATAATTCCCTTTTGGGAGTCGGCAGATACTGAAATAGGACGGACAGAAAAGCACTGAAAATCCAATGTGTACTTTTTCTCACTTAAAAAATCAACAGAATGTATTTTGATTAGTGGGTTCACAAACTTTACAACTGTAACTAACAAACCTAGCTAGCTATGCTAAAGCTTCAGCCTTGAAGATCATGACAAATGTAAACAGTTTTGGGCTCCTGAGTGGCCCTGTCATCAGGTGATCGAAAGTTCGATCTCTGGTGATGCTACAGCCATCAGTGGCTGGGAGTGAGCACAATTGGCCTCGCTGTCTGGGTGGGTAGAGGGTCTCCCACTCCCTCATCACCTAGCGTGATGCTAGTCAGCGCAGGCATCTGTTAGCTGACGTAACAGATCAGCTGGTAGGTTTGTCCAATGGCGTTGCGTGAGCGGCGGTTCGAAAAGATGTGGTGGCGCTTCACAGGTGGAAGTCTGTGCTCTTAGTGCTGGTGGTATTGTGTGATTGGGGGAGTCCTAACTAGTAGGTGAAACTGGATATGACTAAATTGGGGAAGAAAAAAAAAATCTATTATCATTTGTAAAATACTGTATTTTATTTAAAATATAAACTGACTATTCTGAATTAAATTCAAATATAAATAAATGAATACACTGGGGGCTCCTGAGTCTTGCAACCTCTCTTTGGTCCAATCATCGAGAGGTTGGCAAGTTCGATCCCCAGCGATGCCACAGCCAACCGTCGCCAGATTTCCGTAAGAGCATAACTGGCCATAATTGGCCTAAAGATGTTCCAATATTGGTAGTTTTAAAAGATGTGGTAGTTCTTCAGAAATCTCAGAGCAGGCACATGTTAGCCATCACCCTCTCGGCTTGGTAGCACTGTGTGATGAGGAGGCCAGGCTAGCAGGTGAAAATGGAATTGGACACGACTGAAATACATGTTATTTTAGATCAGAATGTGTGGGGATGATGAGCATATGTTCCAGGGACAAAATGCCTGCATGCCGTTAATTGCAGACCAACACTATAGAGGATGCTCAGCTCTCACAGCAGCTCTGTTTCTCAGTGTGATATACGCTGTGTAGTGGAATTTATTAGATTCATATTTAATTAGGTGTTATAATCTCTCTACTGGCCGTGGTCAGTCTGAGTTCGCTTGTCAGCTGCCCCTCTCTCTCTCTCTCTCTCTCTCTCTCTCTCTCTCTTTTGCTCACTGCCTTAACAGACAAAAAGCACACGCATCCTGTCCTAATGATCGTTGGCTATGGGATTGTATTAACACCCACTCACACTTTCTGCAGGCTGTTGTTTATCAAAACCCATTTGTCTGATTCAGGCCATCTCAGTGAGCAACATCAGACGTTTTACTGCGGTCATTTATCGGGCCGTCTGGATGAGAAATTGTCTAGGAGTGTTGTGTCGCCAGATTACGAAATCTGAAATCTTGCTTTTCTGTGCTTGAGTGAAAGCAGAAACATCCCTGGTAAAATATGATTCCAGGAAAAGTAAAAATGTTCCATGTATATATTTATAAAGTTGAAGTGTGAAAGTGGCTTTTATTTATCAAAGTTAAAAGACCGGTGAGTTCATTTAAAAACTCTAAAGTTCCAAACAGCTCCCTGTAATAAAAATTATTCATCAAAATAATAACATAATTTTTAATATACCTCGCAGTACTTTACCTTTGACAGTTTAGTACATTCAGAAGCAGGAGCTACTTTATTTGAACTCGTTTTCAAGTTTTCAAGAGTGTGTCTGCATTTTGTATTTGACTGTATATTTTACTGCATTTTGGGTTGACTGATATTTCAAATGTACATAGAATGAGTAGAATGTGCTGCTGGGCCACTGTGCAAAAATACCTGCATTATATACAGTTAACTGCATTTGTTACCCTCTGCAAACAACTATTGTGTTAGTCTGTTATACTAAACCATCTAAGCCATATAGATGTAGTTAGATATTACATAGATATAGTCTATAGTTTTATAAATGATTATATTTGTACATATTGGCACCCTTTTGTGCTACAAAGTGCATCTATATGTTAAAAAATGGACAAAGAGTATAGGTGTACTGAATGAAGTGATCGGTCATTACGTGTGTGTGTATATATATATATATATATATATATATATATATATATATATAGTAAAAGTGTTTGTTTTCTTTCTTTACATTTAGTATTATATATATATATATATATATATTATGTATGTATATATATATATATATATATATATATACACACACATATTATACTAAATGTGAAAGAATTTTTCGAAACAAACACTTTTACTTCAATTCAAATCATAATATATCTGAATTCAGAGTGAGAAATAATCAAAATGCTATCAGTTAACTTACGCTATCTCTAGCTATACCTGGGATGTGTAATGATTAATACATGTTATGACATATATAGCACTGTAGAGCACTGAATATGAAGGGTCTAATGTATACATCTGCTGTGTGTGTTCCTCAGCTATTGGACGGACCCTCATCCCTCGTTACTTCAGCACGGTGTTTGAAGGAGGAGTGACGGACCTGTACTACATCCTCAAACACTCCAAAGAGTCCTTCCACAACTCCTGCATCACTGTGGACTGTGACCAGTGCACCATGGTCACCCAGCACGGCAAGCCCATGTTCACCAAGGTAACAGATTGTGTGTGGGAAGAGTGTGTGTGGATGTGTGGACATGTCTTAGCACTGGGCTATACAGACTAAAAAATAATTCAACCTTATGTAGAAGTAACAATAACTAAATTTAAGGTGAATTCTGCTGATTTCTCTAAATGAAATTTTTACGATGTAAACAAGATCATTGAATGGTTTGATGCAAACTAGAGCTGGACGAAATGGCAAAAATATAATACTGCGATACTTCAAGAAACTTTCACAGTACGTCTGATCAGTTGGAACAGAGAAAAAAAACAGAAGTGCTACATTTTTAAAAATACTGTCAAAAACTGTGAACATAATGATTTTTATTCAGTTTTTGTCGTACTTTGCTGCAGTCCAGGAACTAATTTTGCTCTCTTTATAATGAAACATGCAGTTGGCCAGTGTTCTAGAAGCACTGACAATATCAACGCTATGTATAGAAAAGCATATTGAATTGTATTCTAACATAATTTATCACAATAATGATATGTATTGTCTCATTGCCCAGCCCTAATGTGAACCACTTAGTTCTACTGAAACTTGTCAAGTCAAACTTATTCACACATCTAAAGAGTTTAATGCCTCTAAAATCTCATTCACAGAAAGTTATTACGTGAAATGGTTACGAATATCGTAGCTGTCCCAAGAAAACCATGTATCTCCATTTTTTTTTCTACATCATTTCAACACACCAACTGTCCTTTACATTGTGTAAAAATGTCTTGATGAAAGGACCAATAGAAATGCTCTAAAATCACTTAGAATAAAATCTCTTTCCATTGACTTACATTGTAAGGTAAGAGTGTTTTTGTCTTCTCCTGTAAAGTTACTATTTTGAACAGCAGCAATATGTTTCCTGATGCCTGAGACATTATTTTGCATGATAGTTTTGAGAGAAAGTTTTGGCTTAAAATGTATTTTTTAGTATCACTTATTGCAACAAGGGAGTTGTAAGGCAAAATAGTACCCAAAGAAAACTTGTAGGTTCACATAGGTTTACTGGCCATTTTGGACAGTAAATAAATAGGTATAATTACACTGCAAACCACAGTTTGAGTCAGTATGTTTGCCTACAATGAGAGTCAGTATGTTTTCCTGCTATGAACCATTTCACATCAAACCACTCTGAATGACTTTTTATTTACGATGACTGAATTATAGAGAAATTTCAAAAAAATCTCCTGGCCAGAACCCAGCAGCATATATGGATATTGCTATATATTGTGATTGCAAGACTCATGCAATATAAAAAAAGCTCTGAGTAAACTGTATGTCCAAAGGTTTGTATACACCTGCTCCTCCAGTGTTTCTTCTGAAATCGATGGTATCAATGCTGCAGTAAAAGCCTCTACTTTTCTGACTAGGCTACATGTTGGAACATTGCTGTGAGGATTTGATTGAGCATTAGTGAGGTCAGGTACTAATGTTGGATGATCAGTTCTGGATCACACCAACTCATCCCGAAGGGATTGGAGCTCCATCCCTCCAGAGAATGCAGTTCCTTTGCTTATCAGCCCAGTGCTGGGGGGGGGTTTATACCCCTCCAGCTGACACTTTGCATTGGGCGCGATGACCTTAGGCTCATGTGCAGCTGCTCCAGAGCATCCAATTCTATTAGTCAGTGCTTCCTCTATGGAGATTACAAAAGCTGTGTGTATGCGATTAGTTTCTAAATATACACAGCACTGTGCAAAAGTCAGAGACCACCCTTTATTTATTTAATTTCTCATCAAAAGACCATAAAGTACAAGCTCTTAATTTTTCAGAAGATATTTCTGAGCAGATTAGATGAGATGGGATTTCTGAGGAGATCAGATAAGATAGATAAGATAATCCACTTGCATCAGAAAGGGGAAAGTCAAAGGACAATAAGTGAAAAAATAAGGGTGTCTTAAACTGCAGTTCAAAAAATGAAAAAAGCAGAAAAAATTGGACTCCTAACAACCTGGTAGACCACCACAACTGCCCCCATCAGACAAACAGCACTTAAAGCTTTCGTCTTTGAGAGAGAGGAGAAAATCAAGCTGCTTCAGATCTGAAAACATCCACAGGTGTTTCTGTCCATCCTTCCACTGTGAGAAGACAACTCAGTGCTATGGGTCTGAAAGGATGTGTAGCTGTCAAGAAGCTGTGAATCAAACAAAGCTGCTTGTGTTCTCAGAACAATGGACTGACCACCCCAGAGTCCAGATATTTTCTGTTAAATATATGTTTTGTGCCCTGAACAATGAATAACTTGTACTTAATGGTCATTTTATTATTATTATTATTTTTATCATTATTATTATTATTATTATTATTATTTTGACCAGAAGCGTGGTCTCTGACGTTTGTACTGCACTGTTAATTTATGTTGCGTGCCTTAATTTGACCACAATAATGAGTAAATAAATGAATGAATGAATGAAGGAACAGAGCTGGAGGGCTGCAATAAAATGCCGAATGGAGTCGTCCATGAAGAAGCCAATTATTTGTTTGTGTACAAACCTGTATCTGTGTATTTGCGTTTGTCCATCTGTGTGTTTGTGTTTGTGTGGATGTGTGCTCTGTTTTCTGTGTAGCGGCTGCGCGAGCGTTAAAGACGCGTGCTGGCTGTTGTTCCCCCGGATCAGCCAGTGTGAGTGTGGGAGACACAGTAAACAAAGCAATACATCAAACAAGCACAGCAACACGACACATACAATCATTCCCCGCCTTAATCACTTCCATTATTCTATATTTGTTTATTGTCGAGAGTCATTAGGAATCCCACAGTGAAATGTCTCATGCGCAGAGCCTTCCAAAGCTTCACCTCATTCGCTTTATTCTGTGGCTTTATTCATCTGAAACATGCCGCTAACCTCTCCCCTCTACTCCTTTGGCAAGAGGCATGTTTTCAGCCAGACCCTTTCAATATTTCAAGAGCAAATATGAAAAAAAGTGTCTTGTCATAAACTCACCGGGTTGGAATGCATAGATAGGCTGAATATTAGACACTGGAAATATTGGAACCATGCAGACGCCAAAGAGGAGAGAAAAAAAGAGCTTTTCTGTTATTTGATCATTGTTAGAGTCTACATATTTAAAATATTTGAAATCCGGGAAAGGCTTTTCCCCAAATTGTAATCAAAGTTTTTGCCAACTGTTTGTATTTAAGATGTACTTTGTGCTTATTAAAGAACTAATTGCTAATCCATTAACCCTTAGAACTCTAGAGTTTTTATTGTCATTTTGGTATATGTACATTTGAATCATTGTATAAGTGTAATTTCATATTACATAAGTAATTACATAGTAAGTAACAGTTTATTACACTAACAGTTGCTTTAATTTCTATATCAACAAGCATGACTTTTTTCTAACCTACAGAACTAGACTGCACATGTGACAACAACTTTTTATAAAATTCAAATCCTAATAAAATATCTCCTCTTCTGTTTACAGACACAAATGTGGTCTCAGTTTCTGAATTTCTGTGCTTTAAGTGAGAAAAAAATGAATGTAATATTACACTAGAAGAAAAGTTAGTTTGACAACTTGGCTATGAAATCCCAGGTGGTTGCTAAGGTGTCCCAGGTGGTTGCTAAGGTGTTGCTTGTAAATTGCTATGTTGTCCCAGGTGGTTGTTTAAGGTGTTGCTGTGGTGTTCCAGGTGGTTGCTACGATGTTGCTATGGTATCCCAGGTGGTTGCTAAGGTGTTGCTGTGGTGTCACCGGTCATCACTAATGTGTGGCTTGTACATTGCTTTGGTATCCCAGGTGGTTGCTAAGGTGTTGCTGTGGTATCCCCGGTCATCCCTAATATGTTGCTTGTACATTGCTATGGTATCCCAGGTGCTTGCTAAGGTGTTGCTGTGGTGTCCTAGGTGATTGCTAATGTGTTGTTTGCACATTGCTATGGTATCCCAGGTGGTTGCTATGGTGTTCCCAGGTCATCACTAATGTGTGGCTTATACATTGCTATGGTATCCCAGGTGGTTACTAAGGTGTTGCTGTGGTGTTCCAGGTGATGGCTAATGTGTTGCTTTTACATTGCTATGGTATCCCATGTGGTTGTTACAGTGTTGCTAGGCCACTGCTATGGTATCCCAGGTGGTTGCTAAAGTGTTGCTATGGTGTCCCAGGTGATTGCTAATGTGTTGCTTGTGCATTGCTATGGTATCCCAGGTGGTTGTTAAGGTGTTGCTATGGTATCCCAGGTGGTTGCTAAGGTGTTGCTATGGTGTCCCAGGTGATTGCTAATGTGTTGCTTGTATATTGCTATGGTATCCCAGGTGGTTGCTAAGGTGTTGTTATGGTGTCCCAGGTGATTGCTAATGTGTTGCTTGTACATTGCTATGGTATCCCAGGTGGTCGTTACAGTATTGCTTGTACATTGCTATGGTATCCCAGGTGGTTGCTAAGGTGTTGTTATGGTGTCCCAGGTGATTGCTAACGTGTTGCTTATACAGTGATATAGTATCCCATGTGGTTGCTAAGGTGTTGCTAGATTGTTGCTATGGCATCCCAGGTGGTTGCTAATACATGTGTATAAATACGTGCTCGTATGTGTACGAGCCTATATGTAATGTCTATGGGGGCAGTGTGAAAATGTCCATTGTAACATCATCTGTGGCAGTTAAATTAGATTTTTATTCTGCCGTTCATAGCCTGTGGGGAAAAAACATATTTGAACAAACACTGTATGAAAACTGGAGTTCCAAAAGCACAAAAGCAGTATTGCTGAATAGTCTCTGATTCTGATTCTGTTTTATGACCTGTAAAAAAGTTACCAAAAGGCAGAGATTAATAAAATGAAGAGTAAATTGGTTTAGTCAAGCCAACTTCACTATATTGTTATTAATGATGATAACCAGGACTTAAGGGTTCAATTGGATTGAATATGTAGACAATGCTATTGCTCACCCCTGGGGGCTCTTTGACCTTGTAAGTGATAATCTTAAACCTTGTTGAGTGTTCCTGCTGATTTAACAACGTACATTCACTGCCATCACACTGGATCAAATTTAAGGTGCCAATTTGCTTTGAGCATTTTGGAATATTTGCATGCATGATTATATGTTATATTAGTATATGTATGATTTAAACTGCATTAATCTAGCTCAGAATCACTGCTCATTAGAGAGATGGCAACTCTATGTGACCATAATAAGAACATAGCTCTGACATCTGCTTTTCTTTCCCATGGTGCCACTGTGCTCAAACTCACCTGTTTATTTAGCCCTCCCAGAACTGAACTGAACTGTGTTAGGAATGTTACACTGATGTCAGAAATAGGATAGTTAAGGTCAGGGCTGGGCAGTAGGTTGACAAACAGATGGGTAGCAACCCTATAAATAACAACCAGTGTATAACTGCATAAACTACAAACTGAGTAGCTAATTGGTTGTCAGCAAAATCATAGTTCATTTATTTATAGTTTACCAATTTTTTGGTTTTTCCATCTATTCTTTCTTGAGCAGACCAGGTGATCAACGGCATCATATACTACTGTGCAAAAGTCAGAGACCACCATTCGTTTATTTAATTTCCAGTCAAAACTTTACTCATTTTTCAGTATCAGGAAAAGCAAACAGAAAACTACACATACGCTTAAAAAAAATATATAATCTAAAGATTTTCAGTATTTATTGTGTTCACTCTTTGCCTTTATTGTTGTGTCTATTCTGTTCAGTAGACTTGCTTTTAGTTTTTCAAAGAAATTTGCAGCCACAGCTCCAAAGTTCAGTCTTAGAAGTTGGTTTAGTATTTTCTGCTTCACACAATCCAAGCCAACACATTCAGTGATGTTGAGGTCTGGACTCCGGGGTGGTCAGTCCATTGTTTAGCTTCTTTGTTGGATGTGTCTGTCTCCTTTTCTCAGTGAGGCTTCTTGACAGCTACACATCCTTTCAGACCCATAGCTTTAAGTGCTGTTTATCTGATGAGGGCAGTTTTGGTGTCTGCCAGGTCTTGCATGGTTGTTAGGAGTTAGGATTTTCTTCTTTTTATCTTTTTTTTAACTCCAGTTTTTCTCCTGTTTTTACACTTATTTTTGCTTTTACCTTCTTCTTCCTTATGCCTTCTTATGTCTAACCTCCTCAGAAATATCCTGAAAAATCAATAACTTGTACTTTTTCACTGTTTTGACTAGAGATGAAATAAGTGAAGGCTATGATTTTTGCACAGTACTGTATATTATACATTTACAGACTGATATTCATTCATGTGTTCATATACATTGTATATGGAACAGCACAGCTGCTTTATGGAGGAGCAAATACGCACATCTGTTGGCAAAATGTTTTAGAGAAAAAGGGGTTAAGTATTCAGATGTGAGGAGGATAGAGAGAGAGATAGAGAGAGAGAGAGAGAGAGAGAGAGAGAGAGAAAGAGAGAGAAAGAGAGAGAGAGAGTGATATTCTCTCAGAGTTGCTTTTTCTCCTGATGGTTGGTGTGGAGCAAAAAAGGGAAAGAAAGAGAGAGAAGGAGAGGTAGTGAAGGAGAGAGAGAGAGAGAGAAGGAAAGAGAACAAGAGAAGAAGAGAGAGGGAGAGATGGAGATGGAGAGAGTGGTAGTCATGTGACTCCGCTGCATTCGCCGGCAGCCTCTTTTCTTGTTGATCCTCCAGAGACCATCTGTGCTGGGGGCATTGATTAGAGTGGCTCTGGCGGGATTACATCTTTGCCGTTGCCATGCCAACTAATCAGCTGTTGCTCCCCCCTCCCCATTCCCCCCTCCTTCCTCTCCGTCCGTCCTCCTCCCCTTGGTTGCCGCAGCAACGGAACATCGGTTCTCCAAGTAGCTCGGCGCTAAATTCAGCGAAACAGCAAAATGTTTTTCTCCCTTTTTTTTCTTAATTGGCAACGGTTTATGACCCCGGCCTCCGTTCCGGCTTTTTCGTTGTTCTGCTGCTTTTTTGTAGGCTCGTCTGGAGCATTCTCCGTTCTCACATCTCGGGTGCGCGAGGCCGAGGGAATGCAGGAGAGTTGCAGTTTCATCTTCAACATAACAAAGTCCAAACTGAGAGCACGAGGCTTTCCAAGACAGCTGTGGTTCACAGTAATTCATTTTCCTTCAAAAGAAATGTCAGAATGTGCTGGCTGGGCGAACACCACAGATGTTTTCCGATGGAGATGTTGGCCAAAATTCCTAAATATGAACCCCTTGACCCAAAAAAGTGTCTTTTTCTGCTGTTTACATCTACATTTATCGCTTAATTGTTAATGATGTGAAGTCTCAGTGTTGCACTGTTAATTACTGCCATTATTATTATTATATTGTGAAATCAACAGATCTTAACATACTTTCTGTAAAAACATAGCAAATTATTGTGATTGTGACACTGAACTGTACTACACAGCATTGTGGGATAAAACAGCGACTGAGTTAAAAGGCGTAAACTTTTTAATATAAACATTTAAAACTCTTTTTGGTGTTTTTGGTGTTAATTGAGATACTCTGTGCATATACAGTGCTAAACATGGTGAAAATATGTTCATTGATTGTTTCAACTCATTTATAGTTCTTGTGAAATTAAAAGTCTTTTGTTTATATTGTTGCTGTTGTACAAAAATATGGTATCTACATTTTTGACAATTATTTTTTTTTTGCATTATTAGAAAACTAGTTAGTCTTTAAACTGTGTTAACATTTTATAATGATGAACTGATAGAAATGGTCTAAAAATATTTGAGGAAAATCTCTTTACAATAACTTCCTTTGTAAGCCAATAATGTTTTTTCTTTCTCCTGTAAAGTTACTTTCAGAGATATGACGTCTGTTCTGGCAGCGACAATGTAAATTTCCAGTAACTTTTTACAGTAAAAAATAAAGTAAACAAGGCTACTGAGTTGCATTACTTTCACAGTTGTTATTTGAAAATACAGGAGATTACTGGAATTACAGCATGTCTCTTATTATTATGATATCATGAGAATACAGCTGAAAGAAAAGCTAAAGAAAATCTTAAAAACAATAATAAGCTCTTAGCAATGTGAATTGCATTCTGAACGTGCACACATGCTAACAATCACAGTGCGTCCAATAATGCATTTGGCATGGAGCTTCTTATATACAGTGATAGGAAACATTACCACACAGTAAACTCAAACATGTCCACATTGGTCATAGATCTGTTTTACTATGACCAGTGTGGACATGCATGCGGCCCAACTACTCTGAGGGGTCAGATTTCAGTTAAAGAATGCAAAAACAATGTCTCTGAATGGATCACCGACAAAATGTTATTATATATCCAGTCTTATTATTTACTTGTTAAAGATTTTTTCCAGCATTTTTCTATCTAACATTGTCCACAACACCTATATTATATAGTTCCCTAAGGTTTTCTGGTATTCATTTGCAAATGGGTGGAGCTTGAGAACTCCACCCCATCACTATCAGTGTAACATAGTAGTAACTGAAGAAGTAGCTTCTTTAAAGAGCAATAAATCTCTGCTGTCGGAAGAAAACCTTGTATCTCCATTTTGGTCATTTTTCAGTTTTTGACAGTCTGAAAATGCCTGTTGTCCTTAACATTGTGTGTAAATTTCATGATGAATGGACCAAAAGAAACAGCCCAAAACAACTTGGAAAAATGTCTGGTTCCATTGACTTACATTAAAAGTAGAGTATGTTTTTTCCTTTTCCTGTAAAGTTATCATTTTGGAGATACAAAGTTTTCTTCCAACAACAGCGATATACAGCTGTACAGCTTGATTTAACAATTATTTGCAAATATATTCTACAAAAATATGACTTTTGCAAAAAAAGACTGATGACATTCAGCTGCTCATAAGTGTGTTTGAACTCAGCAGGTGGTCTGTTCTTTTCCAAGTAAAGTGAAAGAAGTATTTCTTTGATCTTCAGACTTATTCAGTAACTATCAATTAATCAGTATCGGTTATGAAACTTACATGAATGCTATGCATTTACATACATATTCCAGTGAGCTGGGAAGGTCAAAGTTTATTTATCAGTTTATAAATATGTGCTGAAAGATGCTCTTGTGTTTTCAGGTGTGCACGGAAGGACGTCTGATCCTGGAGTTCGCCTTCGATGACCTGATGCGGATCAAGACATGGCACTTCACCATCAGACAGTACCGTGAGCTCATCCCACGCAGCGTCCTTGCCATGCACGTGAGTGTGACATCATCACCACTTTTCTTAGCCCAAATGTAAATGACTGGCTGAGATATGTTTCTACACTGGAGCTCAAATAGATAAAATTACAGATAAAATTCACTCTTTAAGTTATTACTGCTGTATTAGTTATGCAGCACACTTTCGTGTGGAGATACAGCAGCGATATGTTAATATATTAAATTCAGCAAATAAACATTATTGTGTGTTATAAACATGCAGAAGTGTGTTCTCTGTAGAGTGTGTGTTATTTTCACTGAGACAATGAACAAAACATGTCATATGACCAGGGGAGCTCACACTTTTGAATTTGACTGTATCAGTATGTAGTACAATTTCTGCCACACTAACAATTCTGTGAGACTACTTATCAACTTGACACATTTGAAGACAAACATGTAATGATTACAGTGCTAATTGTTAGCCTTATAGTATGTATAGTATGTGGGATAAGATAAGCTAAGATAAGCTAAGATAAGATAAGATAAGATAAGATAAGATTCTCTGTTTGTTATTTGTACAGTGTAAATAGAAATACATAGAAATCCCCCCCCCAAAAAAAAAGAGTGCTGCTAGATCACCTCTGCATGTGCACAGTCTTGGACATCCAGTAATGTCCAGGAATGAGGAGCTTAATCAGTTAGCTTGATCAATGAATTGTTAGAAACTGAAAACTGCAGTGGCAGCCCTAGAGCAGGATTCACTACTAAAAGAGTCTCTCTCTGTGAAACTACTGCAAGGTCAAACCATTTGCTTATATGTCTCTAGTTTCTAGTAAAACGTGTCATTTCTTTGAGAAGCTTTGAATGTCTGTGTTTAATCTAGAACTGCTTTTGTCTAATTTTTACAATCTGGTGCCAACAAAAATGTTCCATCACATAATTGTTAGCATTAAAAAGTGAAGCAGTTGCATTCAAAATGAAATTTCAGGTCCACCTTAAACACCGCAGCAGTAACATTCTGATACCTAAATGAATGTTCTTTTCCACCTTAAACACTGCAGCTATAAACTTCTGATGCCTAAATTAATTTTCTGTTCTACCTTAAACACTGCAGCATTAATATTCTGGTGCCTAAATGAATTTTCCATTCCACCTTAAACAGTGCAGCCATAACCTTCTGATGCCTAAATGAATTTTCCATTCCACCTTAAACAGTGCAGCCATAACCTTCTGATGCCTAAATGAATTTTCAGGTCCACCTTAAACACTGCAACAATAGCATTCTGGTGCCACCACATTTTCCATTCCACCTTAAAAAGTGCAGCCATTACCTTCTAATGCCTAAATGAATTTTCAGGTCCACCTTAAACAGTGCAGCAATAACATTCTGGTGCCACCACATTTTCCATTCCGCCTCAAAAATTGCAGCAATAACGTTGTGATGCTGAAAGCTGTGTAGCTGCTGCGCCATTTAAGGTGGAACAGAAAAATCGATTAAGAGTCTAATGAGACTTCAGCCTCATTAGAAAGTGTTAATGCGAATCGCCATTAGCTTAGTGCTAAAAAACCTCTAGAATTCTATAAGGATGCTAGCAGAAGTTAGCATTATTTATTGAGATGGTTTTGTTGTTTTGACCAGGTTTGGACATTAATGACCCAATTTGAAGGCCTAACTCTAATAGTCACGGTTCGCCACTGATGATGATGATGAGGCTGTAATCAACATGCTAAATGGCCTAATAGCATACTTAAGAAAATAATTAAGACTGCTTAAAGGGCACAGTTCTTAAGTACATTAGATTTCTTTTTGTTTTGTTTAATTTTTAAAATTGGAACTTAACAGTCTTTGGCTTTGGATCCCTCATTAAGTTTTTCTTTGGAAATATTTAATGCAATTGCATCAGTAGCTGATATGAGTCTTTCTTGTTAGCTTTTATTTCATATTTGTATTATTTCTGTATTTTCTTTTTTTTTTGTTTTACTTTTTTTGCGGGAAAAAAGTGTGAAAAGTTTCTTTTTTAAAAAAAAGAACAATTTCTTGCAAGACATCAAAGGCAGTCTCAGATGAAAGAAAGCCTTGTCTAAGGCAAAGAAAGAAAAACAGAATAATAACAAGGTCAAATAAGTAATCTGCTTAATTCCGCGGAGTGTAACGAACTCCACTAGCACGCTGCGATGAAGGAAATGAAGACAGCGCCCCGCAAACCTCGCAAACTCGCCATTTATTGCGCCGAATGAAACCACTGATAGCTTTCAGTCTCTCATTTCTATTCCGGATGGCGAAGCAGGTTGTTGCAGCAGGCAGGGTGAATTTTTCTTTTTCTTTTTCTTTTAACTTTTCTCTCTGGCCCCCCTGTAGGTTTCAGAATGTGCGATGTTGGAAAGTTTGCTCACGCTACCAGCCCACTGTGTTCATGTGAAATTCACATGCTCTTAAATTGGGCCCTCTGGGTATACTATCCATACTGGAAGAAGGAGAGCGAGAGCTACAGAGCCAGAGCGAGAGAGAGCAAGATCTTAGGGATAGAGCGCTTAGGGAAAGGAGGGGAGGGGTTTTCGCTGCAAGAGAAAGGCAGCACTAACGTTACTGCAGTGTATTTGATCGTTTCGTACACACTCGCGCACACACTCCCTGCCAGGGAAGAGCAGTGTAAGTGAAGTTAAACTTGTTTGATCACGACTAACAAGAACTGGAGTGAACCGTTTGAAAACTAAACTCGTTTTGGGCTCCGGTGCACGATCTCAAATAAACATTCTCGGACCTGCAATACACAGTGGAGCTAAACATCTTCAAAATGCATACAGTACAGTGAAAAAGTCAGAGACCACCTTTGTTTACTTAATTTCCAGTCAGAACAGCCATTCGGTACAGCTTAGTCATGTTTCATTAACTACAGCAATGCTTTTGACTCTGTCGACCATGTGAAATTCTGGAAAATGATACCAGATCATCTCGCTGTTCTAATGAGGAACGTCTACACTGATCATCAAATCAGAGTTATGACAGAAAATGGACAGACTGGTTTCATATTGGCAAAGGCAGGGCTGCCCACTGTCACCATACATGTTTAATGAGAGAAGTAGGACTGGAGAAAGATGACTGAGAGAAGGCCTAAAGAGCTGTATGCGCAAACATGCCGGTTCATCCCGGCTCACTGATGCCTCGCTGACGCAAATTTAGAGAATAAATATTCAAATCGGACCTGATAATCATGAGTTTTTGTGTGTGCAGCTGTCAACTTTTGACTCATGTCCTTGTTAGCACTTGTGACTAATGTTAGCTTAGCGAGAAGGCTAAACCACCAGCAATTCCAGCTCATTGAAACCTCATTGACGCAAGTTTAGAGAATAAAGGTTTAAATTGGAACTGATAAACCTGAGTTTTTGTTTGTGGAGCTGTCATCTTAAGCTACTTTTAACTCATGTACTTTTAGCACTAATGACTAACATTAGCTTAGCAAGAAGGCTAAACCACCAGCGATTCCAGCGCACCAACACTGCACTAAGGCATGTTTAGAAAGCAAAGACTCAAATCTGAGCTGATAAACCTGAGTTTTTGTGTATGGAGCTGTTGGCTTAAGCTACTTTTAACTCATGTTCTTGTTAGCACTAGTGACTAACATTAGCTTAGCAAGAAGGCTAAATCACCAGCAATTCCAGTTCACATAAGCCTCATTGTTGCAAGTTTAGTGAATAAAGAGTTAAATCTGAGCTGATAAACCTGAGTTTTTGTGCGGAGCCATCAGATTAAGCTTTTTTCTTACTCATGTCCTTGTTAGCACTAGTGACTAATGTTAGCCTAGCGAGAAGGCAAAACCATCAGCAATTCTGGCTCACTAAAGCCTCACTGACAAGAGTTTAGAGATTAAAGATTCAAATCTGAGTTGATAAACCTGAGTTTTTGTGTGTGAAGCTGTCAACTTAAGCTACTTTTAACTCACGTCCTTGTTATCACTAGTGACTAATGTTGGCAAAACCACCAGCAATTCTGGCTCACTGACGCTGCATTGAAGCATGTTTGGAGGATAAAGACTCAAATCTGAGCTGATAAACCTGAGTTTTGGTGTGTGGAGCTGTCAGCTTAAGCTACTTTGAACTCCTTGTTAGCACCAGTGACTAAGGCCTAAATCACACACACTACCTCTATGTGCCGTGAGTAATGTGGCAGCGTAAGCAATACAGCTCGAAAGCGCTGGCCTTTCATACGTGCAGTGTTTTTGCTGTGAAGTGGAGCAGCGAGAAAGTTATACAGACATTCCTTTATCCAGATGGATAATTGTTCACATCAGTCACTCTGCTCAACAAAAATATGATGCACAGTATGTTTGTTTATCCTCAACAGCATTCTGACTTGTGATTAGGCAAGGTTTTAAGCCTGGTAATGTGTTTGCAGCCCAGAATGTTTAACTAGTATTTCATCATGGATTAAATTACATGTAAAAAAAAATGTGTTTTCATGTTTGTATACAGTTTTCTATTAAATTTTTGTGGCTTATTTCAGTGCATTTTGCTGCATGACGTGCAGGAGGCAGAATAAAACGATGCCAGGTCTATTCTCTCAATACTGCGCCGCTTTAGTGCGGCATCTAAGATGCTCCACCACTTTGCACGTGCAGCCTATGTGAAAGCGCTGACCAGTTAACATGGCCACCGAAATGAAAAGCGAGACTTTCCGTGCTGTTCACGCCACACAAATGCATTATGTGTGAATCAGGTCTAACATTAGCTTAGCAAGAAGACTAAACCACCAGCAATTCCGGGCCACTGACACTGCACTGAGGCAGGTTTAGACTCAAATCTGAGCGAGTGAAGTCAAGTGACTGGTGCCGGAGAGACAGAAAGACAGAATCTTTTTGATTATTAAAGTTATGGCTTTGTTTGTGTTTCTGCTCTTCCTCGTCTTTTCAAAAATAGAGGCTGTGTACAAGATAGTGGAAGGGGCAGGGCTCAGAAACAGGGCAACAAGGGGGTGTGTACAATTAGCATAATCATGCATATTCATAGATCTCCGCATTCTTAATGAATGTTGAGGTTTAGTGACACTCCTATACAACAATTGTAGATAATATATTTAACAATTTATTATTCATCATAGATGTTTTTTGTGTTTTTATGTGTGAATTTAGCCAAGTAATTTTGGAGCATTTTTATTGGACCGTTAATCATGAAGTTTTAACACAAGGCAAAGGGGAAACTGGACTTGTACAAAACAAAAAAAGACAATAATGGAGACATACGGTTACATGGTCACTTTGACTGGGAATGAAATAAATGAAGGGTGGTCTCTGACTTTTGCACAGCACTATACATGTCTAACAGTTTGCTCTCTCAATCTTTTACACATACACCCAACTTTTCTTTCGCACACTCTCTGGACCCTCTGTAACCTCTGTTGTTCTTAAGTCACCTGCATTGATAGCCGTAGTTTGACAGGCAGTGTGAATGCAGCTTATACGGTTTTTGGGGGGGGTAATCTCCCTGGGCTACTGTGAAATTCAAATTTTTGACCGTCTCTATCAATATTTATTAGCAGTTTGAGTGCACTCCACATACAATGCCCCAAAAACCTGAATCAAATACATATTCAGGGTAATTGAAGCATTGGCCTCTGTCCCATTACAGCTTTTTGACGAAAGCTTTTGCCCCGAACCGTCAGGGTGATTTTCTGCTGCTCCTGAAATCCTGAAAGGAAACAAGAAACCAAAGAAACAAAAGCAGATATGCCATTTGGTGCACATCCACTTTACTTAATTACATTCTCCAGGCCAATATAAAAATCGCTTTGAATATGCAGCAGTAGAATAGCCACTTTCTCCACTCCTAATGCCTAAAACCTGAGCTCTGATTGTGTAGTTATACTCTTAGGTCTTTCCAACCGCTCAGTCTGTATGGAGAATAATAAGACTAATAATTCAAGACTTCCAGAAAAGGAAGAATATTTTAAAGTAGAATTCCACCAATTCTTTTTCCCAAATTCTGCATAATTCCACAGACTTATTCCATAAGTCTTCCACAGTGGTTTGATCAGTAGTGATAAAATGAGACTTCATTTAGGATGAGCTGTCACCCAATACTGTAGAAATTTGTGAAGTTCTCATTCGACATGCAGCTCTCAGCCGTCTGATAGTGTGGCTGCAGGTGTGAGTGGGTGTGTGTTTTAGTGTTTTGAGATGAGGTGTGGAGTGATGAGGGGTCCTCTCTCTGCTCGCAGGCTCAAGACCCTCAGGTTCTGGAGCAGCTCTCCAAAAACATCACCCGAATGGGTCTCACCAACTTCACCCTCAACTACCTCAGGGTAAGTCACACACAGTACTGTACTGTAAGTCTTAGCCAACCCAGGAACATTGTCTCTGACCATTTATCTGGGCAGCAAGTGTGTTTTTCACCCTTTAAAACACTATATAACACTAAAATAAATACAAATAAACACTAAAATAGTGAAGAAACTAGTGTAGCTAAACCTTTAAATGCGAAGAAACATGTAAATGCTTGAATACTATCAATATGCATGACTCATACTGATCGTTCCATATGGAGAGTGATTAGATAAAGACTCTTAAGTATTTCAGATGTTTTCTATGATGAAGAATATATATATATATATATATTGCATATCGTCACTAATGGAAATGATAACTTTGCAGAAGAAGGAAAAAAATATACTTGTAATGGAAGTTGATGTAAAAATGTATTTTTTCTAATTTTGTTCATTGTGAAATTTTAACACAATGCAAAGCATAACCGGATCTTTTAATATATGCAAAAAAGTAAAAAATACCAAAAATGGAGGTTTTTGCGTGGAGGTAATGATATGAATCTTTAAAGAAACTTTTGACCCTCTTTCACAGTAGCCATGAAATGCAATTCCAGCCTGTTTTGGAGGTCACTCACTTCATCATTTTTAATTAAATAATTTCCAGTCCATTTCCATTCCGTTGACACAACAGACATGCTATGCTGTGTTGTGCAGCATCCAAACTTTCGAAACTGACTGTGAGCACTGTTCAATATCTCTGTGCTTTAGTGCACCGCTCAGCATTTTGCCATGGCTGCCTTAGATTAAACCCAGAACCAGACCACAAAAATCCACAGTAAATCACATGTGGCTAGATATTCATGGTCCTTAAGATAAACAGTCAGATCAGCTAGCATTATGAGCCTAGTTTTTCCACCTTGTATCTTTTAGCTCAAAAATCAGGAGTTCATGAAGTTAGTTAGCTTGTTTAGTTAGCTTATACCAAACAGGTAAATTCATAAATGATGCTGAAAGTTTAATATCATTAAATTTATATGAGTAGCCTGTAAAAATGAACTTGTGGTGTTCTCACTGCATTCTATGTAGTACAGCTGCACTTATTAGCTCATATCAGTCCCATTTAGAAAGAACTGCACTGGCTACCTGTATCATTCAGGATAGATTTTAAAGTTCTGCTACTAGTTTTAAGGCTCTAAATGACCTTAAAGCACTGCTTACATCACAGAGTGTCTCTCTGTTTATTTTCCAGCACGTGATCTTAGATCTGCAGATACTGACCTTCTGCAAATACCTTCAGTAAAATACAGAAAACATGGAGAGACTCGTTCAGTTATTCTGCTTCTAAACTGTGGAGCTCAGTTCATCTTTTATTAGACAGTCAAGCTCAGTGCTCACTTTTAAGAAGCATCGAAAAACGTATTTCTTTAACTTAATGTTTAATTAAAAGTCTATATCTTAGTAGTATTTATCTTAATTTTAACTGTGTCATTTTCTTATGATTCTAAATAAACACTTTTAATTTCTTGTATTACTGTTAAGTTAAATTATTATTATTACAAGTGTAGGTAATATTGGCAAGTGTAAATATTGGACTTCCTCAAGTAGAAGCTTGGAAATGGTTTAGCTTACACATCAAATCACAGTGTATGGTATTATTTAGCGATGCACCGATCCAATACACTGGATCAGCATCAGGCCTGATACTAAACTTATTTAATGCGTTAGTCATTGGTCAGATGTGGCCGATTGACCATGAGCGCTATTTCTTAGACCCAGTCGCTGTAAGATGAAAGAGTGTCGTTCCAAAACACATCACATTCTCACTTTGTGTTCTTATTAGCGGAACTGAATGCTCCACATACAGCCAACAATTATGAATGATCACATTACAGACAGATTTGTTTGTTTAAGGAGATCAAACGAGTTCTTTGCGAATGTCAAATGAATGTGTTTCTCTGCAGAGCATGAGAGAATAAAAGCCCTGTGCAGGAGAGCCTCTCTACAGCTTCATTAACGAATACCTATTTCAGTTATGACTTATTTATGACTTATTTGACTTACATATTTATCAGTTTAATGTAGGCTAAAAAAGTTACAAATGTCAGATTTCTGACTTCATGGCCTTAAAATAAATGAATAAAATTAAATTTAAAAAAACTATCGTGATTTGGAATTAACTAATTGTAACTGCATATTATATGAAGTTTACAGAATTTACAGAATTGTGGAAAAAATATTGGATTGAGAAAGTCAGATCAGTGCCTCCTCAGCATTAATCATGAATCATCAGTTTTTTTATTAAAATGTCTGAGGAAGCAAATATCTACTGCACAGATAAATAGCTTTATACATCCAATTCTCAGGTGGCCTAAGATTTTTGCACAATAATTTAGGCACACAGAGGTCACATTTTCTTCAAAACTCATTGTTTTAAAACTCATTGTTTTAATATATATATATCACCATTCCAGGCACAAGTTTATTGCCTCCTTTAGTTGTGCATAGAATGTCTATGCTGCATGTGCCATGTATTGTGTTTACAGTGTTTTTGCTCATGTATGTATGTGTGTGTGTGTGTGTCTGTGTGTGTGTGTGTCTGTGTGTGTGTGTGTGTGTGTGTGTCTGTGTGTCTGTGTGTGTGTGTGTGTGCGTGTGTGTGTATGTGTGCACGCACAGCCCGGCTCCCCTGCAGTAGATTTCGCCGTCTTCTCCACAGCTTTGTTTATTCTTGCGATTTTCGTGTGAGTGACAGCTCCGATTTGCGAAAGGGAGAACAAGAGGGGGAGAGAAAATTAATTGGATGGAGGAAATTAGCATAACATTAATGAGCGTTCCCCTGTTGAGGCGCGGCATTGTGGGTCTCCGTGCTCTGCTCTCACTCACCCGGCGCACCGGCTTGTTTATTGTGGGGCTACACAGAAAAAGAAGAGGAGGAATAAAGGCCTTTTTTAGGTTTTTCTTTCTCTCTATCTCTCTCTTATTCCCCCCACTGCTCGTCCATCCTCTACGTTACTCCGCACGTTAAACGCACAGCCGCGCTTATAAGAGCAGAGAGGAAAAAAGGTGGGCGAAGTCAGAGCTGAATTGTGAATTAAATTTAGATTAGCTGCGGCTCTGTAAGAGTGTAAAGTCTCGGCGCTCTCAGCCTGATCCATCGCCGCTCCCGCAGCTCTATTCAGCAGCTCGGACTGGTTTGCATATGGTTTCCCTGTTTTAGCTGCGCGGTTTTGCATATGTTCGCCTACGCAGCCTCGAAGCTGAGAGACAGAAAGAAGGCATTTCTTACCTTCGGCTGACTCTTAACTGAGGCCCAGTCATTTCATATTTAAGATTTGTCTTTTGTTATTTGTCTAATTTTGTGGAACAATTTTGCATTAGCCTATTAGCATCATTTCCAACTAGCTAGTTATTGCTTTTGTGTGGCTAAAATTGAGGGTCACTGAGAGGTCAACTTTCCAGCAACACACTCCAGCTGACTCATGACTAAGGCTTTATATTTTTGATTTGACTTTATTTGTCTAATCTTAAAAAAAATGGCTACATTGTAAATTTCACATTGGCTAATTAGCCTAATTCCCACCTAGCTAGCTAACCAATGATTAATGTGGGGCTGAAATCTACAGTAATTGAAGGCCACTGAGGGGTCAACTTAAGGGCACATCTAGTTCTGAAAATGACACAGTTGTGAATTAGAAATTCCCACCTAATCTATTTTAATTAACTGAAATAAAGTCTAGATTTCTCACTGGTACTTCTCACCATAAGGGATCACCAAAATGCAGCTCCTCCAGAACCACAGTGTTACACAAAACAGCAGCAGATCAGCAGATGAGACGACTACAGTACAAGAGTCAATAAATACAATAAATACAGGCAACAATTCAGACTACAAACAAAACTGTGCAAACATGTGCACCCATACAGAAATCTGATATATGGCTATATATGCACATGTTCTGTAAATGGTTAGGCATATATTTCTAAATATATGTGCATATATGTTGTGTACATGTATTCATAATACAAGGATCATACAAATATGTTTGATAGGTGGGTGAATGCATATGCACAATATAAGGATTATACATATAATATCTGATGTATGTCTAATGCATATGTCAGATACATGACATCATACATATCTGTCTGTTACAAACATCAAAGGTTTTTTAAAGCAAAAACAACAGATTGAAATACACTAGAAATGTATGCTCAAAAAAAACCTTTATATAAAATAAACACATTATGTAACATGAAATTAGCATATGTGATTAATATATTGTAGCTATCAGAACAAAACCTTGTATCTCCAAAGTGGTAACTTTACAGAAGTTTGTTATCTGTAGAAAATATGTTAACTTACAGTTATGTGAAAAAGTAAGTACACTCTATTAAATATTTTATTTTTTGACGTATGTGGACATATCAGTATTTGACCATTAGTATTTGACCATTAATATGCATTAAAAATAGAGATGTCCTTTTTTCTGTCAAAAAAAGTAAATGCACCCCTGGCTTCAGTAATCTGTATTGACCACCTTGAGAGAAACTTTACATAGGCATTTTCTCCCTTAATTGATGGTCGGTGAGAGGTCAGCTGTCCAGCACGGCAAATAATCCTGTAAAGGTGTACTTTTTTTTCCTTTGCTTGCAAATGTAGGCTAATTTCTCACAGTCTCTCAGCATCCCAGCGGTGGTAAAAATACCTCGTAAAAATGACTCATTAGCGTGGTCAGAGACAGCAGGGTTGGTGTGCGGGAGGTTATCAGCGGCTCCACTCGGGCCGGTTTCCTGTGTTGGGAAGGATGGGGTGCACTGTCCGGCGCGCTGGCTGAGGAAGCCTGGGGGTTTCCTAGCATTCAGGCTGGAAATAGCCCCGCTGCCTGGGACAGCATCCAGAGATTGTTCCCCTGGACCTGTGGAAGTGTGAGGGGATGCAGCCGTGCCAGAATGCAGGGGCTGTCAGAACGGATGGTGTGTGAGTGAGGGGGGGGGTGTATGTGTGCGTTTGTGTGAGTGCGTATATACCCACCTGCTACACCTTGCCTATGGACATTTTAATAACCATTATAAATGAATTAAGAAAAAAATCTGCAAAGGTTTTATTAAAAAGGCTATTTGTTAATACTTTGAGTATATTTTACAACTGTCGGCTTTGTATTTATCAAAGTGCCTTTTTCAGTGTGGAGAAGAGGCTTTCACTATTGGTAACTATTGTTAAATGGGACTTTTTAATGGGGAAATTTCTCCAGAATTCAGTGATTGAGATATAAACAAAGTCTTTCAGAGTGGTTTGATGTGAAATGGTTCACTGTAGAGAAATATACTCACTCAGATTTCTTTGCAATAGTGGTGATAGGAACCAGGGGTCACAATGTCTACAACACAAATATAGCCAGTTTATTGACTATCCAAATGATCAGTAAACCTACATGTGCCTTTTGCTTAAAAATACGTTTTTGGTTGCCTTACAACACACTGCATGTCCCACTCTGCCATGATTGATGTTAAAATGTGTTTCAAAACTATCATAAAAACAATGTCCCACGCATCAAGCAGCGTATTCACGTGAGGAAGCTTTTATAGGCATTAAATGCTTCAGAAGTCTGGTTAGAACCATTAGCACCACTCTGACTGTTCACATTTTAAAGATTGAACTGTGCAGAAACGTTGAACACCTTTGCCTTAAAGAACACATATTAAACCTTTTCTGGCCTAAAGGAGTTTTAAACACCTAAAAGCTTTGAATGTTGATGAGTGTTGACATCAAAACAAAGGAAAAAATGCATGGCACCAGTATTGTATAAAAATATCTACGTGTGAATTGTTTTCCTCAGAATTTGAAAAAAAATAAATTTCATTAGTCTTAACACATTAAGATATTACACATTACCAAAACATGCTTATTGGCATCAGCAACATTCAGACAAACTAAGAGTCCCCAAATGTTTGACAGGCAGCATACTTAAATCTCCAAAACTGTAGGTCTGTCGTCTGTATAGCATTTAGTCTAAATAAATTGCATCATAACCTGATCCTTTGCTCACTGTATGTGTCTGTGTGTGTTTCTTTGTTGATTATGTCCTGCAGTTGTGTGTTATCCTGGAGCCCATGCAGGAGCTCATGTCCCGACACAAGACCTACAGCCTCAGCCCCAGAGACTGTCTCAAAACCTGCCTGTTTCAGAAATGGCAGCGGATGGTGGCACCACCAGGTAAGACATACTGAGATGCCAGTTTATTGGAAACATTTACTTTGTGCCCACAATCGTTGGCCTTTATACCAGAAACACCAACCATACAGGGCACTGCACAGGTACATGTTAGTTTCCCAAGGTATAAACAATGTAAATGAACCCTTAAAGGTACAAAACTGTCCTTAAAGCCCAATTGTGTACCATAAAGCAGTACAATGTAAGATTTTTTGCTAAAAATGAAAGAAAAGGCATCACTGAGTCAGGAGAAAAAAAACAAACTAGCTTAAATATGGAGTGTTTGCGCTGCTGTGCGTCACCCTGTAAAGGCTGAAATAATCTTTTAAAATTCAGAGGCAACAGGTTGAAGTTTCTCAGACCACGTCATACATCTTTACATATTAACACCACACCCATAGGCTCAAAAATAAGATCTGGTGTGTGTTTAGGTCTCAAATACAAAATCATTCTGAGAGGATGAATCTTTCATCAGATTCATCCTCTCGGGGAAGGGGTCTGAAGCACAACCAACATCACAAAACATTTTCCCACACTTTGCTTGCAATTGCACATTTTTTTCCAGAGAGGTCTCAAAATCATATATTATTTTATATTCATATTATATTCTAATAAAAAACAATGACTTAAAACAGTGTGTATAGAGTCAGTGCAATTAAAAAAAAGAAGGGTACCATCCCAGTGACCTAAGGGTAGCACCTCAGTGACCTAAGGGTACCATCCCAGTGACCTAAGGGTACCATCCAGTAACCTATAGGTACCATCCCAGTAACATAAGGGTACCACCCCAGTGACCTAAGGGTACCACCCCAGTGACGTATGTGTACCACTCTAGTGACCTAAGGGCACCATCCCAGTGACCTAAGGGTACCACCCCAGTGACCTAAGGGTACCATCCCAGTAACCTAAGGGTAACCTCTCAGTGACCTAAGGGTACCATCTCAGTGACCTGTAGGTACCATCCCAGTAACATAAGGGTACCACCCCAGTGACCTAAGGGTACCACACCAGTGACCTAGGGATACCACCCCAGTGACCTAAGGGTACCAGCTTAGTGACCTAAGGGTACCACTTCAGTGACCCAAAGCTACCATCCCAGTGACCTAAGAGTACCACCCCAGTGACCTAAAGGTACCATCTCAGTAACCTAAGGGTACCACCCCAGTGACCTAAGGGTACCACTTCAGTGACCTAGGGATACCACCCCAGTGACCTAAGGGTACCACCTCAGTGACCTAAGGGTACCACCTCAGTGACCTAAGGGTACCACTTCAGTGACCTAAGGATACCATCCCAGTGACCTAAGGGTACCACCCCAGTGACCTAAGGGTACCATCTCAGTAACCTAAGGGTAACCTCTCAGTGAACTAAGGGTACCACTTCAGTGACCTAAGGATACCATCCCAGTGACCTAAGGGTACCATCCTTGGGCATTTCAGTAGCTAGTTTATAAAGAGTGTATAGGTGCACTTTGTAGGTTTACAATTACAGAACTGTTGCTGCACAATTTACTATCCCTTCTAGGTTATGCCCCCCTTCCATCAGTGGAAAGGGACCACCACAAGCCCACCGCTTGACAGATATTATTTGTAATAACACTAGGACCTTGCATGGGAGAAAAAAGGAGCTTGAGTTTGGTTGTGTTTCACTGCGCTGCTCAGTAATGTGAAGTTCATTATAAATGGTGCGTATCACAGCATTTGAAAAGTGGAAGAACATTTTGTTCTCTGGCTTAAACAGCCTTTTTACATCATTGTTTGAAACCAGGCTCACTTTTTTGCCTTTTTTGTTGAAACTGAAGCTAGCAAAGCACTCAAATTTAAACAAACATATAACATGTATATAAACATATAACATACAATAAACAAACACTTCCAGACAGATCAACACTCCTTTATGTGCAATTTCAATTCGTTTCTCAAAGTTAAAGGGGGATGCCACCGATTTCTCACGTCTTCTATATTATTAATAATAATTAGTTATTATTAATCATTATAATTAAGAGTCATTCAGAGAGTGGTTTGGTGTGAAATGCTCCGTTCTAGAGAAACCTCAGAGTTGTTCATAGTGGTGGTGATAGGAACCAGATGTCTGAAGCATTTAATGCCTCTGAAAGCTCCTTCACAGAAAGTTACTACATGAAATGGTTATAGATATGCAGTATGGAGAGAGGGGGTTTTGGCCTACAATGTAATTTTTAAAAATCATTCAGGACAAAGTGGTACATGCAGGGTGTTCTGATGCAAAATAGTACCCAACTTCTTTTTTGTGTCATATTTAATGCTATTTTACTGTTTATAAATTACATACTTATATATAAAAACAAAGGCACAGGTAGGTTCCCTGGTCATTTTGGCCATATTTACACTGTTGACATTGTGACCCCTGGTCTCCACCACTGTAAAGAAAAACATAATTTCACGTTAAAACACACTGTATGACTTTGTTTGCATCTTTCTGTTTGATCGAATTATGCAAAAATTTAGAAAAATTGTGGAATTCCCCTTTAAAACCCATATTTAGATCAGTGAGACCAGCATTAAATTGTGAGCAAATTTCTGTCCTTCCAGCGTGAAGCCCCATTTGGGCTTCTGTCAAGCCGTTAAGTAGCGTAACTCACGTTCTCCCACAGCCATGCGCTAGTGGATCCTCTGTAATGGTCATTTCCTTTATTAGCCCCAGCTCCTTCTTTCCTCCCATTCTGCTGAAATTCGGGCAGCGTTCACATTCAGGGCAGGAAGGAAGGACGGCCGCCTTCATACACTGATAAGTCCTTTTTTCTAGTGTGTGTGGAAATGAGGCCGTTTCAGTGCGTCATTCACACACCCTCGCTGATAAACACACCAGGAGCCAGCAAAGTCTCTTTTTTACCTCAAAAACAACACACTGTTTATGTGCCACAGTGAAGTATGATATGTTGGTTATGTGGGGTGGGTTATTTTTATTAGCTGTTAAAAGTTGGTAAAAAAGATTTTTTTTTGTTTAACCCTTAGAAGTCAGGAGTTATTCCCACTTTGGTGTCCTGTTTAAAGGCCATTGCTTTGTTATAGACTTGCTTTCCTTTTAGCAAAGAAATCTGCAGGGATATTTTTCCACACCTCCTAAGTTTAGTCTTAGAAGTTGGTTGCATTTTCTGCTTCTCACAGTCCAGTAGTTACCTTACGGGATCCTATTTAAATAAGATTACAATATTATACATACTTAAAAATGATGGTTCTTCAGGGGTTCTTTAGTGAAGAAAATAGTTCTATATAGAACCATGAACAGTCAACGAATCCTTTGCATGATTAAAGGGTTCTCTGCATTGTGTAAGCGTTCTTCAGTTTGATGGAGAATGTGTTGTAGATGGTTCTATACAGAACCTTTTTGAATAGGGTCCTATATAGCACCAAAAAGGGTTCTTCTATTGTAACAAGTATAACATCGTAACAATAGAAGAATACTTTTTGTTGCTACATAGAACCTTTTTCAAGAAGGTTCTGTATAGAGCCATGTACAGCACATTCTCCATCAAAGAACCCTTTAATCATGCAGAGGGTTCTTTGAGTGTTCTTTACTAAAGAACCCTTAAAGAACCATCATTTTTACATGTGTATGATTCATTATTTAGTTAGTAATGTCTTTTATTATATTACATTATTATGTAATGAATATCTGGGTTCGATTCCCCGGCCGGGCGACTAGAGTCCTTTCTGTGTGGAGTTTGCATGTTCTCATCGTGTCAGCCTCAACATTGAGCGCTGGGATAGACTCCAGCACCCCCGTGACCCATCCTCCATAAGTGGCTTGGGTAATATGTGTGTAAATAACATTTACATTTGGTTTACATTCTGTATCGACAGGTTCAACTATGCTCTTTCTACATTTTCTGTTTTAATGTCAAGAAATGACAAAAATGGATGGTTTTTCAAGACTGGACGCACAACAATAACTTTTCATCAAACTCAAATCATAATAATTTATCTCCTCTTCTGTGTACAAACACTAATATGGTATGGTTTGAAAGTTAAAGTTAAGATATTAACAGAATTGTTTACTGCTGTTAAGAAATTCATATCAAATTACTCCACACATTTGTAATCACCAGCAATCAGCAGCGACTTCACAGGGTTAAGAATCGTCAAAGTATGAGCTAAAACGTAACATCTCCCTGGGTGCAGGTAGAACCTCTGATGATGTGTTTCATTTTCTGACAGCATCCAGTTATCCAGTTTTCAAACTTTTTAATAAAGGCAGTGTTGATGTTAAATCTGGCATATCTAGCTACTTTCTCATTTTTTATGAGGTAGTGTTTGATGTATTACATGCTTTGGTGACAAAAATTGACAGAAAAACAGTCTGTAAGACGGAGACCACCCTTCATTTATTTAACTTCCAGTCAAATTGCTCATTAAGTCCTTTAAGTTAATCATTTTTTATTGTTTGGTATCAGAAAAAAACAAAAAACATGTATTTAATTAAACTTGTGTGTCCACCTGTTGCCTTTATTACAACATCCAGGGTTCTTCTCTTCAGTTTTTTTAAAGAAATGTATGCAAATGCAGACCTATGTTCAGTCTTAGAAGTTGGTTGCAATTCACAAGCGCAATTGAAACACATTCAATATATTGGGGTCTTAAATCTGAGTATTTTCCTTTGACTTTAACCTTCTGTGTACAAGTAGATCATCTTATTTAATCTCTTCGGAAATATCTCCTTAAAGGAAATAACGTCATGACAGTTCTGACAGGTGGTCTCAGGCTTTTGTCCAGTATTGTATATAAACACTTAAAAATAAAGAACTAAAGTTAACTTCAATATTTTAAACAATTCACTGGTTTTCAAAGTTTTGTTTACCAGTATTTTCATGCTGAAAGACATCCCAAATTTAGGCTACATGACATCTTCTTCATAATCATAACCTTCTAAATCAAACTTGCTCTGACTGGTTTTCAGCGGGACATCCACAGAACTTCAAAACGGAAATTTTCCCCTCAAATCACAAAAAAGGTACTCCTTCTGTCTTCTAAAGCTTTCCTAACAGCGTGCTCTAACAGGGGGACGCGCATTCTGTCTCCGAAAGGAATGCTGTGAAATGCGTTTTGTTTTTGTCTCTGTGTGCGCCATGAGTGCTCAACATATTCTCACTGTAGCAGATTCAGTTTGCATATTATACAGTCGTACGCAAAAGTGTGGAAGCCCCTGGTTACATACAATGTTTGGGGATTTTATGAGTGATAAAGTTAACACATTGTCTACAGAGAACACACAGTTTATTTGCTGAATTGAACATTTTGGAAAAAAGATCAAACGTAAAATGTGCTCAGTGCAAAAGCTTCCAATGTGTTAAACTCAGCAAATAAACGGAAAATGTGCAGTAAAAATTACAGACAAATGCCAAGATTGAGTGTGTTCACTGTATAGGTTGTGTTAATTTACTTTAATTTAGAAAATCAACAAAATATTTTTTTATTTAATTTGTCTGGGGATGTTCAAACTATTGCATACGACTGTATATGATAACACTGACAAGACAGTCGGATATACCAATAAATAGCTTTTAGGCCTATGATTTTAGGAATTTGAATAGTTAAATGAAATGAATACATATTAAATTACTGTCAATAACACTAGTTTTAATCTGCATTAAAACATTTTAGCAGTGAAAAATAAACAGCATTTATGATCATGACTCTGCATAAACAGTACAGTACATTGTTGAGCATTTATGCAACTGAAAGCAGGGGTGTCCTCTTACTAGTGCATGTCTTGGAAGATGTTAAAATGCTTTTTGATTTCACCTCCTAAAGAAGCAAAGCATGCCCTGTCTGTGCCTGTGTGTGTGCTAATATGAGGAGGGTATTTATTGCTGAATATGACTGTATGTGTATATTGTATTGTATTATAGATCTTTCTATACACCCGTATCTGTATGCATGCACTAGTTTGGAGTTTCTCTGTGTGAATACATGTGTGTGTGAATTGTAAATTGTCATGCAGTTCTACACTCGTGTGTATGTGTGTGCACGCAGAGCCCACTCGACAGACCACCACGAAAAGGAGAAAGAGAAGGAACTCGGCCAGCAGCGCGTCTAACAGTAGCCTTGGCAACAGTGCGGGCAGTAAGAAACGGAGCCCAGCCAACAGCTTCAACCTGACCAGCCAGGTACCTGTAAGCATCGAATCTTCTCTTATACAAACGCGCTTGTGCACACGCACACCTGCACACACGCCAGATATTCTTCTGCATTGAAGCTTTGGGTGGCCGTGATGTTAGGGACGGCCCACAGCTGTGAACACTCATCCAGAAACACCAGTGACCATTTGAATCCTGTGAAACGCTGTTCAGGTCATCCATCCAGGTCATAAAGTTCATATCTAAAGCGAATGAGCTTCTTTAAATTGTACATTTGTTTATTTAGTTGTTTGCAATAGTTTGAAAACCTCCACTGAAATGACATGTTTTTGGTTGATTTTCTAATTGAAAGTTTTTAATTTTACATTTTTTTTCAATGAAATGTACCCAAATATTTGTTTAGCAACATATTTTCATTGTCAGTTTAGCTGAAAGGAGCCAAGTTCTAGCTTACTAGTACTAGCTTAGTGTTTCAAGTTTCAGTTAAATTGTGAGTGAAATAACATAAATATCATTCAGAATTGATGACTTAGCTAGTTATTTATAAATGATTTATGGCCATTCATATCTTACAGTGATCAGCTAAACCGATTAGCTAGCCTACTGTCTCTGTTTGTCTTCATATCTCAGCTCTGCGGTGGGTAAACGAGTGACTGAGGATGCTCTCAGGTTCGTCACCTGAATGTAGTTCAACAGTCAAAACTATTGCCAAACAGATTATCGTGTATTTAGCTAGTTCTTGTTGTGTCAACATGGTTCGCATTTTAATATCTTTCTTCATTCTGTCTTGATTCATGCTTTCTAAGAAAAGGGCTGACACTGTGAAATCGTAGGAGGAAGCGTGGCTGTGTTCAGTTTTCAGATAATGTTACCTGGGTATTTTTATAATATGATTATTAAAAAATTCATTGTTAAGTTTTATAGTAAAATATTTTGTTTAATACAGAAAATAGTAAGCCTCTACTTATAAGTATTCTAAAATTCTGGTGGGGCCTGAAGGGTTAACAAAAGACAAACCATAAATAAGAAATTTAAGACTAACATAAGGAATAAATACTCGAATATTCAGATTATGTATGCCAGCCCTCTTTCACATCTGTATTATACTGAGACAACAATTTCAGTGTGGGTTTTTTTTGCACATAGCAAGGTTGAAAATTCACTTGCCAAGTGGAAGCCAATGGGTAACTTCTGAATTCTGTAAATAAACATCTGAAGAATGTGACCGTATGAATCATTCTACTGAGCTGGTTCAAAGTCAGACATATTTCAGACTTTTACCTAGCTTGGACTTTAATTAAATTAAAATTGATTAAAATCTTCTTGCTTTGAGTAACTATATGCCTTACTTATATTTATTTTATTAAAATATGAATATTCCATTTTGTCATTACCAGAACAATCATTATATTACCAAAACTTTACCTAATATTTCGGTAGTGACAATTTTAGCTAATTTTGAGAAAAACACTAGACACTACATAGCAAACACAGTTGTACACACATTAAATCGTAATATTTTTTATTAAAGCACAAATAAATTACTTACTTGCTGGAAATATGTGTTTTGGTAGTGCAGAACTCAAACACTCTAGCCAGTACATGACTAGCAAACACAGCTTTGAACATAAAATGATCATATTTTTCATTAAAGCACAAAAAAGTTCACTTAATTGCAGAAATATTGACAGTTAGTAGGTAGTGACAGTTCTTATTGTTCCACACTGATTTTCAGTGGGACGCATTTACTTCATAACAATGGGATCTACCTGCTCACCATGTGGCCATGAGGGACAGGGATGCAGCCTTAATTCCTGCTCTAATATGCAGGGGCGTGGCTAAAATAAGGCTCCACCTATTAACTGAAACTCTATGTTTCAGTAGTGACATGAAAAAAAACAGCATTTTTGAATTTTCAAAGTTTTTCTATTTGCAAATTAAACTCATGATAAATCAAACCTGTAACTTCACAATGAAGGAAATAAAAAAGATCTTTTAAATTTAAAGGTTAGGATTTGGGACAACCACCTCCAAATAAAAAGTGACCTATAAATAATGATTTTGTATTACTATCCCAATGAATGCATTTTATTTTAATTTATTTATTTAATAAATAGGGACTCTCATTTGATCTATTCTGGTAGAATGGTCCATATAAGTGACCTGTAGTTGATGATATGATACAGACTAATATATATATACTATATGAAAAAGGAGAACCTCTTACCAGAACCACTCTTATAAGTTTTGTCTAATTTTTGTTTAACATTGGAGCAAAACAGTAAAAAGCAGTACTGGTTACTTTTGCTTTTGCTAAGGTTTTCTACATTGGTAACATATTACCGCAAATTCTTCCCTACATCTCATATTTGGAAGAAAAAATTATAGAGATTTACAGCTTAAATTTTTCAAATGACTTTGATACATTCATCAAATTGTTTCAAATAAATGTTTATGGACAGAATTCAGCAGCTGCCTATTGGTTATTTTATTAAGTGCATGGAAGGACAATGAAATTGCTGGTTATGGTAATCGCTTAAACACAGTGTGGCAGAGATTAGAGTTAAAAAATACTGAAATATTCTGTAAATCAAATAATAAACTCATTTCTAATCATAGACAAAGCAATGTATGTACAGCTGTGTTTATGCTGTTCCTTGAAGCTTTGCAGTTGCATTGAATCTGAATGTAAAACAATGTTAATCAAACTCATGAGGCATTCCTGTCAAAACAGGATCAAACCAGCACTGACAATATTTCAGTGATGGTTTTCTTGCTGAGTAGAGAAGCTGAATTAGTGTGGTGATTTTAAAACATCAGACTTCCTGGTAAGTTACATCTTCATACCATGCAATTATTGTCATATTGTTTTTAGAAATCTATATAAGTTATATACAACTATGTATATAAATAGGCTTAGTTAGAATTGCAACATTTTCCCTCTTTTTCATGAGGTAAAGGTTTGTTTACTGTAATGGCAGGGTGCTTGCAGGTTGCATACAATCAGCTGCATCATGAAGTAGAAACAATTTTGTGCAGCTGAATTGTTGTGCAATTTTTCAGGAGTGATGCACCCAGTAAATGAAGTACAACTTAGAAGCAAATGGTGCAAATTGTCTGGAAATTTCTTTGCACAGCACAAACCTTTAACATTGCTGCAAAGATGCCATAATGTAATGAACTGCTGTCACAGTAATGGGCTTTGATGAGAATGGATATTTGATATAATATTGCATTGATGTTTATTGATGTAGTATTATATGTATAGCTATTGATGTACAGTATTGGGCAAAAGTCACAGATACCTCCTTTGTTTATATCATAACCTTAATCAATCACAACATTGATGTGGGCAACAATACTGTGGTCACCCATGATCTCTTTCCCCCTGTTCAAAAAAGCTAACCACCAAGCGAAAGCTAACCAAGCAAGTGTAACTATAGAACATCCATACATAAGTATAACATCTGTCTGTCTGTTATCCGTCTGTCGGTTCATCTGTCCATCCATCCAAATGTCTGTTCCTTTGTTCGTCTATCTGTTTGTTTGTTCTTCTAGCTGTTCGTCTATCCATCCATGCAACCGTTCATTGGTTCAACCAGCCACACCACTGTTTCCTAAATGCACATCCTGCAGTGAAGCGAATAAGAGCTTTACCTTCTTTAAGACGTAATCTTAACATTTCACTCATTTCTTCTCACTCATGCTGTTCTGCTTCAGTGTCATAGCGCACTGGGAGCCGTGGAATTAGGGCCGTCAATCATACACGCTCATCATTTCATTCACATTTTCTGGATTTTTAATATAATGCTCAATTTTAGTATAATGGAAACAATGTTCATGTTTAACACTGTGTTCCATTGGACTTCAGATCTTCCATTCTTACAGTCTTAAAACAAATGAGTTACATTAGTGTTCTTCCAACAAAAGCTTCTTTCAAAGAAGTCACTTACATTATGTTCCCCTCCATAGAGACACTAGCATTCACACACACTACCAACTACCCAAACTCACCTCAGCTGCCCTGCTGAATTCTTTCTCTTGTGCGTTTAAAATGTCCACAACTGGAGTTCAAAGCTTTTCCTGAGAAAACGAAATAGATAAAAAAGAACATTTGCAAAACTGACACTGGACATCTGGACTAAGGAGTCTAAATTGGCGATTTTGGATTATTTGGATTGTGAGAAACAGAAAATATTCCTGCATTTTTGAAAAGTGAGTTTCCTGAAAAGAATGGAAGCTGGAATGAAGGCAAAGGGTGAATACACTAAATACTGAAAAAATTAATATTTTATTTAATATGTTTTTTCTGGCACAGTGACACAGTAAAATGAACTTATTGGTTGTTTTAGGGGCGTCTCTGAGTTGAATAAGATTGATGGAATTCAACTGAGCATAGACAGACAGACAAATAGATAGATAGATAGATAGATAGATAGATAGATAGATAGATAGATAGATAGATAAACAGATGTTGTTGTATGAATACTTTTTATCAAAACACTAGCTTCTCTTTAAATTATATTAAAAAATCATGAATGATGGACCAATAAAAATGATTCAAAATGACTTGGAAGATAATATCATTTAGAGTCACAACACCAAACATCACTACAACTGAACATCACTTATGAAGGCATAACCGCACTTTAAACATCCATTGAGTCATCTAAAGTTAGTTCTTGGCACATGACTCGGAAATCCGAGGCCTCCACTGGGTTTACATTTAAACTGCGAAATCACACTTCAGTTTTCCGGCTGAGAATGAGCTTCCATGCCGTTTTCTGCCCCAATAAAAGCTCATCGTGTTTAACCTCAGCCTGCGAGGTGTTTATCCTCGAGTGCCTTTTTATCCCCAGGCCTCTTCTCCCCAGCGAGACTCGCACAGTCACTCAGCCTGGGGTCAAACACACACTTCAATCCACAAGTGTTGCAGCTTTTTTTACCTGGAGAGCAGTGGTGGGAGGCAAGGTTGCATTTGTTTGCAGATGGATGATGGGATTTGTAGTGTCTGGCTTTTTCCCCAGAGTCAGGAG